GCAGAAGATGATGTTAAATTATGACTGTCAAAAGGAAATAGAGGAAGTTGGGGCTCAAATTTGTTGTAAATATGAAGTTAGGATTAAGGAGAAGGAAAAGAATGCGTGCTTAGAGTAAGTTGGAATTGGACTCGAATCATAATAATATCCAATTTACTATTTATAGTTGTAGCTGAAGTCCAGTTTGGTTTTAGTTGGTGATTTCTTTACTCTCCTTCATAGTCGTTTTCTGTTCAGAATTGAAATTGATGGAGCAACCAAAACTTTCCGAAGTTATTACCTCAATGAAGAAGATATTGATGTATGATAATCAACTCCTGCAGTCACCAATCTTCTCTTCACTTCTTTCTTTGTCTCGATTACTATCTATCCATCTCTTCAAGTTTCACATTACTTCCAGGTTGTGTGGTTTCCTGGTTGTTTTGAAATATGTTTAGCCGCAGAAAGGCTGGGCAAGTCAGGGACTACAATGTAGTGATGTGCATTGGAGCTGTGGTATGTATTACTCCAGTTATCACTTATCAATGACAGAGTCTTGCTTGATTTTGCATTTTTATTGTAATATTTGCTCCTTCACATGATGTGATTCATCACTAGATGTTGATTGCTAGGATTGTAATGCATCTACTCTACGATTTTCTGTAGATAAGAGGTGACGCCCTCACACTATGATGCTGTTGTGAATTCAGCTGCATCTATAGTAATGTCGGCTGGTCTAAATTCAGGTTAGTAGTACTTCTTCCTCTTGTGCATAAGTAACAAATGACTATTGGGTTCTTTATTCTTGCCTCTCTCTTGGAAATAACAATATATATGGAGCTAGATGAAGATTTAAACCAAGCTATTAGACTTGGTAAGCTCTCTATATACGTTCTACTGAGTAAGTGGTTAAGTCAATACCATTTCATCAAAGAGGTTCTTACTGTTTCTCATCATCTTTCCAATTTTTCTAGCCATCGACCATCAATTCTTTTCATCCATTCTCTAGGCGTCATTCAAAAACTTGGTTCTTTTAACATGCCTTTCCCTAACCTTTAGCCTCTTAGATTGGTATTTTCAGTGTTTGTTTGTAGCTTGAAATGGGAATTTTGGAGGGTTTCTGTATATTTGAAGTCTAGGTTCTTAGTGTATTTGGGATTTGGATGTGTGATATGGCTTTCAGTGAGCTAGATTTGAGTGTCCTTTGAACAATGAGGTGCAACATAAGCCAATTGAGCTGTCATGGAAATAGAGAGCTTACACAGTAATGTGGAAATATATGTTTGTGTCATGAGCTTTGCCTCTTACTTCTTGGCTTGCTAAATTGCTTCCCAATTAGGATGCTAACTTGGTATTATCCGATTGCTATGTCTCTGGTTTGAACTTGAAGTTTGGCTTCATGCACATTTTTATGGTGTTTTCTGCAAGGTGTATTATATCAAACTGGGAAAATTCATGTATGATTTGTGTAATTCTCTGGTTGGCAGCCATTGAAGGATGGATTGTTTTGGTAAATGGTGTGCATGAAGAGGCGCAAGAGGATGACTTGAAAAATGCTATTGGCCAGTTCGGAGAGATTAAGAATCTGCATTTGAATCTTGATTGTCGTACTGGTTTGTTAAGGTATGAACAAGTTCATCCGATCTTCTTTCTTCTAGGCTACGTGAGAGTGGATGTGTTTGTCACTAAAAATGAGGAACAACTTCATTAGTTTGCTAGGGATATGTGCTGATTGAATACGAGAAGTTTGAGGATACTGATGTGTTTGATAGTGGGTTTGCATTTGGTATATGTTGTTCAGCTGACGGTTTGCTGTATTAAGCTATTTCCTCCACCGACACTGAATTGGCCAGAAACTTCCTACTCGGCCCGCATAGATATGATTTTTTGCATGCATTACATGGCGAGGAAACAGAACCCGCACAGTAATGTTAGTATTTAACCTAGGATAGTGCTTATAGACTCGACATTTTTCTTCATTCTATTATGCTAGCAGAGGTAAATAGAGATATAAGTTTTGTGAATTGCTTCGTTTGTGCCTCCTAATTAACATACCCATGTTTCATCTTGACGTAGTAGTTGTTCCAATTTGATTTCCAAACTGAAATGCATATTAGATCAAGTTGCTCACTCTGACACTAACTCCGCTTGATGAAATTCATCAACAGTAATGGCTCCGCCATATAATTTGCTTTCAGCATTATAGGATTTCAGTTTGTTGCCGAATCCGTTGTATTGGTAATTGACAAGATGAATCAGCAAAGCTACCTTTTTGGACAACGGGTATGCAAAGTTCCTGATGCCTTTTAAACCTCTAGCTTTGTTATGGATTCGACACGTGTGAAACATGAATACATCAAACAACTTGAAGTTATGCTATTGTATTTGTAATGAACTTAGTTTTGGTCATCTGACTGCTGCAAACCCACTTAATGACGAATGATAAACCTCCTACCCCTTTCAGCCTTACCTTTGATCATAAACCTATATATTGTCAGAGCTCCATAATATGGTTTATTCTTCATGCTGAATTAGATTGGATGTTTACACTAAGATTGTTTTTCTTTTGGTGTTCGGATTATCTTATTGAAAAATTAGGCAAAGCTGAATACCACGCTGAAGACTGAAGAGAACCACGTGTTTGGACACCTGCCTTGTGACGAAGCTTTAGCGACTGAATTTTGCTTAAGCTCAAGAGCTCAATTTCCTTAAATATGACAAAGTCAGATGTCTAACTTTTACATTTTTCAGCCAAGTTGTCAATCCAATTTACAACCTTTTTTCCCCCATTCCATGTGTTCGTATGTATAATTGTGTTTATTCCACAGGAGAAGGTATACATTATTGCTGGAGAAGTGACGGACTTGACCATTTCATGGTCCAGTGAGTCAAACGTCTATGTTGTACACTTGACCACTGAGCACCCAACCAATGACATTCATATCATGTTCCCATATACCCAGTTTAGACAGATCGCATCAGCCGAGAGAGTATCCCTATTGAGACAAGAACTTCTTCAACATCCTCAATTGCATGTAATGCAACACATACCAGTTCATGGTGAAATTTGAACCTTGGAAGCACATGATTAATCACTGTGATTTGATTATGCTTAAGTTGTTCGATGCTTTTGTTAACTAATATTATGCCTAGGATTAGCCTTTATCCGACTTAGTTTGCAATGGACAAGTCTTCTGCTTATCTACAAGTATGACATTTCTATGGATGCTTTTTTTTATATTTATTAGTTTTGTCATTTGTGGGATTATGGTCAGTGATAATAGCACAACTCCTTTCTATTAACTCCACGTTTGATTCCCAGTTATTAACTTTCACAAAGTACTTGCATGTGTTTTCATCAAAGTTTTCTGTTCTGATGGCTGCGGAGCTTCATTTTCTGCTTGAGAGCAAGCTATTTTATAGAGAATGACACTATCTTGATGCATGCAAATCAAAAGCATACTAATGAACGACATTGTTTTTACTATTTCTTACACATTTTCATATGATTATTGACCATAAATTTTGAACACAGTATTAGGTGAATTTTATCCTTTCATATTACCAATTGATGAATTCCTTGAAGTTTGTAAATACCACTTCATTGCATAATTGCTTATTTCCGCTTGGAGCTCATAGAAAATCATGTTAATAATACAGTCTTATGAATTAGTACCTTTGAAGCAATTCATGATGACAATAACAAGTGCAAGATTTTCCTCTAAAATATACATACAACATTAAGATAGGATGATCTGGTCAACAAAATATAAAAGAACTAATTATCACTAATGGCACAATTAATACATAGCCCAAAAATGACTTTGAAATTGTGAATCAATTAATTAGAATACCCCTAAATCATTTAATTTTATTGGTCGTTGACTCTGAATTCGAGATGTTCTCATACCCATTTAGTCATCTCCTCAAATAATATAAATCAATTGATTAAAATAAAATAATAAAAAATAATATGATACTCATCCGCCAATGAATACTACCTGCACAAATTTGGCAGAAGTCTTCTACACCCGCATGGCTAGATAAAAAATATGAATTAATTATCACTAATGTCGTAATCAAAAAGTAACACAAAAATTTATTTCAAATTGTCAATGAATCTAAATCCTTTGAAAATATAAATGGAATTGATTAAAATGAAACAAAAAATAAATAAAAAATTCATCCGGCCAACGGGTCGGGTAAAAGCTAGTTTACAAATAAGGATAGTAGTCTTTTAGTAGAATTAGGTTTATTATTAGGCTTTCCTATCTTTCCTATAAATATGTAATATGGATTTCATTATCAAGGAAGCAAGAACAATTATTCAGAAAGTATCTCTCCCATAACCTAATCCTCTATCTCCTAATTTCTCTTTCTCTAGCCCTCTAAGGCTTCGGCCGATTCTATCTTCTATTCTTCTTCTTCCTCTAGTTCCCAATCTCAATCCCGATTTCTATCTTCTAATCCCTAATTTTATCCTCAAATCCCTAAATTCCCAATCACCCCTCACAATCGATAGAACCCTAGAAATAGAGTTCTATCACAAGGTGATGGGAGTCAACATCAATGTGACAGTACCCATTGGTCACCAAGGCGGTCACAAGGGGTCCCTAAAGTAGTTGGAGCAGACGACTTGTTAGTGGTTACAAAGATGGAGTAAGGAGTCCTCAGGAGGGTTGGAGCAACAGTCCAGCTAGCAGTTAACAAGGCAATTACATTCGATAGCTATTTTAAATAGGAAAAACAAAGATTGTAAAAGAGGGTGCACAACCAAACATTTGACAACACATCAAATTTTATATTTTTCTCTACAATGTAGCTATAGTTATAGCCTTTAGTTTTTAGAGCTCTCACTGAACATCCATAGGAATAGGATAATTTAACTTAGTTTGTCCCAAAAGCCATCAATAACATCAAACACACTCGTTAGAATATTGTTCGGAGAGGTCTAAACCATATTTAGAATCGTTGTCCAAAAAAATAAAGGTGCAAAGCATTAATATCAAACACCAAAATTTCCTGGCTAGAAGACACTTACACCATTCAACAACCAAATCAGATTTCCCATAACTCATTACTTTTTGATGGGGCGGTGACAAGATAGAAGAAAGCAATGGCTTCCCGAGTTGAACTGGTCATCGCCATAATAAAAGAACCTACAATCATCTTCCTGCTGTTTAGGCATCAACAACAAGAAAGTTGGCTGGTAGCCAATTAACCTAGCAGCGCACATCGACAATCTCCAAAAGTAAAGTAGATTAGGCAGCCAACCCTTCTCCCTTGGTCACCTCTCTCTAAGGCAGAGAGTTACTACTTTTCTTAATATATATCATCGCATCTACCTAGCTCTGGTGAAATAAATAAAAAAGGGAGTTGGATGTACAAAAAGGCCTCGTAGAATAGTCTCTGGCTCCTTGGCGTCGAATCTACCTGAACTTGGACCATATGTTGTCGTTGTCGTCGTGACCTATAGGTGCCGGAGCTTTCTGGGCAATATAACTACAGGGGAAATATAAACAGCCTTGTGTTACATTCTTGGCTGTCAAGCAATGGAGGCAGAGAGAGGAGGAGAAAAGACTGGTTTTAGGTTAAAGCATGCATTGAAACCGTAAAGGAGAGGGAAATTGAAGAGCTTACCTTGGTCTTTACTGATAAAGCTTTCAAGTGGGAAAACAGTTGCCGGATCTAGCTTTGCTTGTTGAGACAAGATAGTAAATGTTATGCCCCTTCTTCTGCAGAAGAACCGCATATGAAATATCAGTCCCCATGCTTCTTTTGCACGGCACATGATATACAATCACAAATTTGTACCCTACCATTTGTTAATTGGCACCAGTTGATACAAATAATCAACCCACTCAATCAACTTTTAATATCTACCTTCAGAAGTTTAGTTTAAATTATCGTTCTTGACCCATCTTCCTTTAGCTTTTCTGTACGTCCAATTCCATCGTTTACTTTTCCATAAAATTCCAAGTCCGTGGGGACAGTTAGTCATTTAACACGTAACTATGATTTCATCGACCTTAAATAGTCAAAAGATTGTTGAACCACTTGAGCATTTCACAATTGTGTACGAGTATTTCTACAATGATACTGAAATGATAAGACTAAAGTAAACCAACCTGGACCAAGAAGGAATAAATTTAGTATTGGGCTTATCATCATCATCATCATCCTCAGCTTCTTCATCTTCATCATCGGAACCTTTGTATGGTGAAATCTCGTATGATCTTGCTGGTACAATGTCGGATTCCAGACTGTAGTTGTTCTCTTTTCCCTCACATATTTGGTTTTCCATAACATCCTGTAGTATAATAATAATAAAAAGCAGGAGAGCACCAGACCTCAGTCAAATAACATAATAAAATGCAGCAACAATGAAAGCTACTCGAATTAATTCCCTTACCTTCGAATTATCAACAGAATTCATATTCCTTGTATCATAAGCTGCAGAACCAATGGGATTCGTTGTCCCAGTTGCCTTGACCATCCTTTCTTCTTCGACATTCTCCATCAGTTTACTTGCCTTGACATCCTAGAAAATGAAACTGAAACTTTTAAGCCTGAACTGAGTGAAATAGAGAAATTAATTACCTATTGTGTAGTGAAAGGAATCATATACCGGAGCTTCTCTTCCACACTTGGTTTCTTCTTTGTCACCATAATTCATTTTGTCTCTCTGTTCCATGTTCTGCTTTCTTTTATCTTCGATCCGCTTCCTTTTCCTTTCTCTCCTTCTTCTGTTCTTCTTCTCTCTGCCGTTTCTTGGCAGCCATCTCAGCCTCCTTTTTCTGTTCTTCTTTCCTTTCTTTCTCCAACTCTAGCTGCCTCAAGTTCTGCTCTTCAATCCTTGCCCGCCGCTCAAGTTTCAAAGCTTCCTTCTTCAACCTTTTATCATTCTCTTTCTTCTCAGCAAGTCGTTTAGCAGCCTCTGCTGCTTCCAAGGACTTCACTTTGATATCCCTCTTTCCTGCAAGTATTTTAGCATAATGCTATGTCATGACCGGATCAAAACTCGAAATTTTGAAGGCAATGTGAGTAATAACCATAAATCCGTCGAAGCTAGAAAAATTACCTGTAACAGCAGCAGCAGCAGCAGCAGCCATTCGCTTTTGTTGTTGCACCAGTGGAACAAAGGAAGTAACATTTGACACAATATTGTTATGTTTTGGCGCCTTCTCCAGTAAACCAGCGCTAAATTTTCTCGGTTCATTCTTCCTCAACAACTTTGGTGGCTTACTGAACAAGCTATTCTGTAAAGAACCATTACTCCTTTTAACTCCAAGTGGGACCCTCAGCTGCTGCTGGCGCTGCTTCGACTTCCCCTTATTGCTAGTTGCATAACCATATCTACTTCTGCTGATTCTCCGATTCCCAGTCTCCAATTTGCAAACGCTACCAGCCACACTGAACTCTGTGCACACAGAAGCAATACTATATCTATCATCTATTACATCATCTTCGTTACATATTGAAGCTGGAGGATTTGCAGATTCCATGATGTCAACAAGCGGCTTCCTCTCAACAATCTTTATTGCATTCTCTGGACTGGTGATAACTATGTCATCATCCATATTCTCAGTCTCTTCTTCATTTATACTGGGAAGATCAGGAATTGAACTTGCTTGTCTCTCTGAACTCAGAGACTTTAATGGCATAGGTTCCCAGAATTTCCTTACCGGGGAACTGTAGACTTTGCTACTGCCATGAATGAAAGGAGCACTGTCAGTAGGAAACACGTAAATTTCATGAGATGTAAAGCCACTGAGGTCACCCAAGTAATTGGAACTGGTGGATTCAAACTGCTTATTGGCGTCAGCATCTTCAGCAAGGTTTCCGAAAAGGCTAGTCGAGATGGTTGGGGGGTCTAGAACGAAAGGGTTGTGCCTATATGGATCCGAAAAGTTAGGTCCTGCAGTGGAAGGCTCTTTATCATTTGTTTCCACAACAAATTTCTCCAACTCTGGTCCATTTTCATCAGGTGCGGTCGAATCCACAGAAACTAAGGCGGCAACTGGATAAACTGGTGGATTGTGAGTGCCCCCGGCATCAGAGTTTGTCATCTGCAGGATGCTTTCAGTAACCAATCTTCCCAGATAAAAGCTTTCAGAGACCTGTCGTGAAAAAACTTCGCTTTCATGAGAAAACTGCAGCCCAGCCATTTCAGTTGGCTCCCACACTTTGGCCTGCCCGGAAAAATACCTTCAGACGAGCCAGTTGACAGCTTTGTCAAACTAGAGAGTGGATTGGCTTCTAGATGTTCATGCATAAAACTGAGAGCTGCATATTCACTTTTGTCCCTCCCTCCCATGGTATGTTCATCCTGTCATGCAAAAGTTTGTTACTGACTTAAAAAGGGGGAAGTGCAACCGGTAATAAATATGAAGAAAGTGTATTTAATGTGACTCGTCCAATTAGTCCTTCCTAAGGGTCTGAATCCATTTAAATGAATGGATCGGAATCTGAGATTACTTATGTTCGTTGGAGCGTCCAAAGAGTGAGTAATTTGTTAACACAAAACACTTCAAAATTTAAATGGAGACACCAACTCATGTCAAATTTCTTCCGCAAAGTCTGAGTAATGATCTATTTGTGAAAAATATCAACAAAAAGATGAGTCTTTAATCTTTATGAGATAATAATGTTGTAGCTTGAAGTAATTCTATTAGTAAGATCAACATAAAATAAAAGGGTAAACCACCCAATTGCTCCATTGACCACTATAACACATAAAAGTATCTTCACATGATGCATGTGTATCAGTGTATGAATACCCGACAAAACCATGAGAATGGACATGTTTGCACAGGGAGTGCAGGAAACCAACCATCATTGGCTAAAGCTTTCATGATTCAGAAGGAACTGAACAAGAGGTGCTCGATCAGTAGAAAGGAAAAGAGAACCAAGAACACTGAGATCCTATTTCCTCAGAGAAGCAGAATGAACATCAAGAGTCAATCACCTAGCATTGGAATGATTGTTAACCTTTGCTTTACAAATCTTTAAACTAGTCGGTGCTTATTGTGAGAGTTATAGAATTTGTGAAAATCGCAGATCTAATCACTTTGTTTCTAAACACAAAAAGGGACAGCAATGTAGAAGTTGCTATTTTTTATTTTCTTTTATTACAGAGGATTGTGAGGTTAAGTTTAATTGAATAGTCAATTGGGCCAAAAATATATGGCCGCAGTTCTACAAACAAATTATCTTTCTAACAAGATACATGTTACATAAGCCAGTTTCACAATAAACATGAGAAGTACCTCTTTAACTTGCATCTTAGATGATAAAACTTCACGTGCCTTTACTGTATTTTTATCCGAGTCTTGAAGCATTTCTTCCCCAGGATGCTTGTGATCATCTGAGCTGATAGCCTTCTGCAGCTAAGATATGTAAGTCATAAGACAATTTGGAACAGCATTTTACAATGTTTCAGCACTTGGACTTACGTTATATTGGGGAAAGGGCTGAAATTGCACTGTTGTCAGGTTTGAAGTAGTAGAACAGGGGTAACTTGGCCTATCACCAACCTTCATGCGTTTGTATTGAGGCCATGAACCCATGAAAGAAGTACATAAATATGGGTTTTGAGCAAACGCAATACTATTCTGTTCCTGTACAGAGTTCATGTTACTAGCACTGTTAACAGTGTCCTTGCCAAGATCTTGTGATGAATCCTTCCTAGGCTTTTCCTGGCTATCGAAACCACTAAGGCATAGCATATTGGGCAACAAACTGTTCTGTTCTATGTGGCCAACAGAAGTTACTTCAGTTGATGAACAGGAAGATCGTCTCTCTGCAGGAGACTGTTTTGATGACATTATACCATTGTCATCCTGGACATCAGAAATGGAAGTTCTGTTAACTTCCATGTCATCAAAATCAAGTTGCTTGGGCTTCATCAGCATGTCATCTTCACTTTCTGACCTTGAGGTAACTCCGATGCTATGGGCACCTGAGTTAGATCTTGAAGTAAGCGAATCAGCCACAACTAGCCCAGGAGAGTTAATGCCTGAGTCAGCAGGAACTGCTCCACATTTTTTACTGTCAAAAATGGTGGTGCGTACAGTCAGGCCATTGGGATGAGTACCCTCTTGTTCCGGGTAGCTCACTTCTTTTCCAATCACCCTAGATGACAGAAGCAGTTGTGATAATCTGTTGGGCTCTGCAACTGCAATATCTGCATCTTCAGCCATGTTAGAAGAAACACACATTTTCCGCAAATCATAAACATAATCATTTTGAAAATCGGGGCTTATGGACTGTGTTGGTTTAGGTATTCGCATGATTCCACCCCTCATTTCCATGCTTTGTAAGTGAGGCACCTCAACCCTAGGTTTAATTGAGTCCCTTAAGGCATCAACATGGTAGGGTATCCTGTTTGAATAGCAACCATCTTCTTTACCGTTATTGATAGGACAACTGAGCTGCACACATTCATCACCTTGTTGAGATCGGTTAGCTCTCGTAGATCTTGTTACTCTCACAAAATCACCATTGCTACCCATTTCTATGCTCCCATTATCAGTCATTTTCAAATTTGAACGTTCGTGAGACCCGCTGAATGTTGCAGAGGGTTTGGCCGATTCTTGTAACCTGTTGTCATTAGTAGCCTGTTTTGAAGATCTTTCACTGGAATGCTCAAATCTACCACCTTTAGCTCCATTATTGACGGACTTGACCTCATCTGAAGCGGCCTTTAAAGCATCATTCTGAAGGCTTGAATGTCTTGAGCTTCTAGCTCCACCAGAATGAATGAAGCTGCCACCTTCATTGATAATGCAATCACCACCGTTTACTTCTTCTGTTGCACAAATTTCATCAGCAGCCATAGTAAAATTGGCTGCTTCTGACATCCGATCAGCATAATTGGACTGCTGCATTGACATGAAGGTAGACTCTCTGGGCAAATCTTTCTTCACAATATCAGAAGATTTTTTCTTACTAAGAAGCTCATTCATATGACTGGATAGTTGGTACAGTGCACCAGATTGAATTCTAACATTATCATGACCACTGCTGCCCTCTTTCCTCCAAGATTCGGCCACTTTCACTTCTCCTTTTGTGGAATGAACGTTATTTTGACAAGAACCAGGATCACCATTCTCATCATTTGCACGTAGTTTAGCTGATCTTGCGCTACTGCGAATCTCCAACGCCCTTTGCCTCGATTTGGATCTTTCAATCCTCACCAATGATCGACTGTGATCAGTACAGTTATCATGATCTTGTGAGTCTCGAGCATGGTTGAGAGCACCAGGAGTGTCAGTGGCGGGGAATTGAGACAGAACAGAAAACTGTCCTACTGAATCATTACTGTGTTGAAATCATGAACCTCCCTTTCCAAGCAGTTTGGCTGAACCTCATTAGCAGCAGGATCAAAAGGCTTTTCTTGTTTCGATGAAGTGGGGAGAAAAGGCCTTTTGGAATGGGGATGGTGAACACTAGGGTAAAAGCTTGGTGCTTGAGACGTGGAAGCAGGAGCCCAGATATAAGCTCTTCCTTCTTCAACCCTGTCAGAATTTGAAGCAATTTGCAAAAGATCCCATTGCAATAAGAAAGAGAAAACGATGGAGGAAATAAATGAAGACATGTTAATTAGCCCTCTGCTTTAACCATTCATTACTCATTGGAAACTGATTACTTAGTGAAACAAATAGCTTGAAATCCCTAACTGAAAATCGGGTGTAGATCACTCTTCCGAATGTACAAGGCAGAAATTCCAGGAACTAATTTAACCCCTAAAAGTGCCAAAAAGATGGCCAATTTCTCTAGCATTGGCGCTCAGAACAGTCCCTTGGATAAAACTATCCATTTCTAGATCTGAAAAGCAACAGAAACTCTGCATGCAAAATAGTTAGCTCTGAAATCTCGCAGATACCCTAGCTTTTCTATGCCATTAATGCCGGGAAACTAGAATTGGAGTCCGAAATCTCCACGAAAACTTGATAAATCGACTCCCTCACGCAATTTGCACAGACGAAATTCAAACACTTCACAGTGCGCAGCGGCAAAGAAATCACTCACCACTGGGATGCAATGAAAGAGAGTCGAGCGAAGGGGACAAGATCCATGGAGGAGGGGAGATTCCGTCTAGGACGCATTTGGAAGCGAGATGCCGATCGAAGAGTTCAGTCTGCTTCTTGACCTGCTCAAGTATCGACTTGTGCCTCTCGAAGATCTGGACTATGAGCTTCTCTACAGTCGTCATCTTCCCAAACCTAACTTCACAGGATTTGAACAATTTCCACCATGAATCGCCCAAAGATTGAGAGAGTTAAAGCGTAGAGTACCACCGTGGGAGTAGATTGAGGAAGGCGGCCGGAGATTTTGAGAAGTTTGGTGCTGGTCGGCGGGGATGAGGAGGGCATTCAATGCCAGTGTAGACTGTAGAGTACCGGGTACTGGGTGAGCGCGGACGAAATTATTTCAAATTGAATCGGCGACGTACGGAGGTTACATTATTAACAAAAAAAAACAATATAGGGTTAATTGCATGGCGATTACAAAAAAAACGTTATATTTGGTCACTCGAAATATTTAATTTCATCCGTGGTCACTAAAATTTGTAAAACCGTCCAAATTTGGTCACTCTCCATTAGTTTCTGTCCGCCTCCGTTAACCAAGACAGTTATGTTCTGACGTGACAGACGGAATCGTCTAGTCAATCTAATTTAACCCAAAAATAGTGAAATCCGACCCGTCATGTCACTATAACTCGCCATGTCATCTTGTCCATCTAAACCCAACTCTTGAACCAACCCGACCCACTTACCCATGAACCAACCACTCAAACAAAATAAGGGTTTATCCCTTTTCCCATTCCAGATCTGAAACCATCTTCTCTAGTTCTTCATTTTCTTGCATTCCCATCGACAGCCAGATCTGAATGGTGTTTGAATCGGTCACCGCAACAATCGCAACCCCTAACTCTTATCTCTCTCGCCTGCTCGTCCTTCGCCGCTCCGTTCCTTCTCCCCCTATATCGCCAACATCACCGGCTACTCCATCCTCTCCGGCCTCTCCTTCGAGATGGAACCCATTTGCGGCCTCTCCTCCGCTGCATTTCAATCGGAGATTGCGAGAAGGCCAATTGTCAGGGGAAATTTGACAATCCATTGATTAAAGACAGAGAGTTGAACAAGGATAGAAGTGGGGGGAAAGGGAATGAAGTGGCTTTACCTAGTGAAGCCACTTCGATGGTGAGCTGCACGGCTCCGACGAGTAGGACTCCTCCATCTCCTCCATCATCCCGGTCTCACCATCTCGTCCACCAGCCTCCAGATGTAGTCGCACAGCACGGGAAACGCAACGTCGATCCAGAGAAAGCAGCTGTCATACCTCAATTGTGGGGGAGACATGGTCCTCCCGACCCGACCCTGGGTGAAACCGGTCAACGAAGAGGGAGTAGATGAATGACTTGGACTCAAACCAATAATCTCATATGAAATTATTTAACAACACAATACAAACAGACGTCGAACTGAAACAATCATATAATTCAGAGAAACCAAACTGGAAGCTCAATACACATACCCACTTTCAATGTAGTCTCCTCAATGTAGCCCATCATAGAAAGGTGGGAAATGGTGTTCTTGTGTTGAAACTCCATGTGCTTCAACAAAATCTGCTTTATTTAGTCCTCAGTGTAGCATCCCCACCCACTGCTATTGTAGTAGCAGCTCTAAGCTCCTCTCTGCATTTTCTTGAACATGTAAAAATGGAGCCCACAGTTAATATTAAAAAAAAATTACATGTAAATCGATACCAACAAAATAAACTTGGGGCGAACATGAAACCTCCCTGCAACAGCGCTCCTTCCAGCCTCAATTCGAAGCATACAAATCAATCCATTTCTCTCCTCTGTATCCATACCTCTTGCCGTCACACTAGTGCTTTGAATTTCTATGGAGAAGAAACTGAATTCAAGCTCGAACTCCTCTTACTTCACTTTTGCAGTTTGATACCAGAGAGGTGGTGGAATTAGGAGCTGGGAACCCTGAAGGCTTATAAGATATGGCCTCTCTCCATTGATTGACAACATGAATGTAGTATCTGCAAATGTCAAAAGTGTACTTGTTTATCGGCTTCCAAAGCCTAGATGCAAAGAACCAAAATAATGACATAAATCAGGGTTCTATTAACAACAAACATGAGCACAGGATAAACCGAAATACAACATGATAATCATAAGTAGTAATTGTTGGGAAGAGCACGAGAAGCCTGTTGTACTTTTTTCAAACAAGCTAGTTGTTTGAGCCTAGAATGTACTAGGTAGTTTGATGAGTCACGAGCGAGGCTTCTGTTCTTGATGGTGGGTGGTGCTCCAGAACCCTACAAAACAAGGGTCTGTGGGCGGTCGCCCGGGACACCCTCCAATGCTTAAGTTAGAGAGAGAATCTGAAAAATGTGTTTGTGCTTAGAGTGAGGGGAAGTAGTTGAGTTACCATCAATTCTAGTGTGGAGGTATTTATACCCGGTCAGGTGAAGTTTAGAGCATTAAATGCTCTATCAGGCGCCTTAATCCTATTATAGGCCGTCTATGGCGGTTAATTAATGCTTAGTCCTGCTTACTTCGAGGTAAGTATCTTAGAGGATCTCTCCCTCCTGTCACCATGAGTGCTTTATGTTAGGCGGTCTATACTTGTATTGTCCCTAGAACGACCGCCTAACCTACTTTATTGCCTGCAGTCGCGATACTTCTAGGCCGACCGAAATCTGTTCGCTTTCCTTGGGCTCTAAATCCCAATACCGCTTAACTATGGTCCTAACAATGGCCCTTAGTTCTCGGGTCGGTAATGTTGAGGAAAAGTTTGGGTTTTAGTAGCTATAATTTCTCGGGTCGGTAATGTTGAGCGGTCTCTAGTTCCCAACCGCTCTCCTTGCCCTTTGCCCCTGGCCGCACGAGAGACAGATCTCCCGCCGGAAGGTTATCTAGATGCTTCTCCCATTCCGCTGAGTGTCGCGCTCCTCCCAACTATGACTTTATGCGGTCTGGCTCACGCGGTTCACACCATCGGCTGCATGCTTGTCCACGTGGCAGGACTCGAAAATCAAGCTCTGATAACGGTCAACCTAGGAGTCATTTCAGCTGCCCGTTTTTTAAATTGTAGACTAGGGTTTTCCCTTGATCACCCAACCGTCACTGCCCCCCTTCCATTTTCCTATATATATATATCTACTATTTACCCTTCTTCTTCACTTCTTTTACTTACCTTTTTTTGAGATTTCCCAAAATCCTCCCATAATTGCTCGCTGCAAGTTCACCTTCTCTTCCTATATGCGAAGCCATCCCCCTCTTTCAGCTGAGCGAGCAAGCTATCTCGATAGGCTTAAGCAATCTAAAAAATGAGCAAAGAAGAAACAACGAAGGTCCAAAATGGCGATCGTTTCTCATAGCACCACTCCTTCTGATAGCCAGAACCAGAACATCTCCGGCGACGTTCCTGCCGCCACCCCTTCAGGCGAGGTTAGAACCTCCTGCGCAGGCGTGAGTCTTCCCCGCTCTTCGCTCAAGACTGGCGGCGGGTCCGGCGGTCCATCCTCTGGAACTTGGCAGATCGCCCAAGGTATGCTCCATCTTTCTTCCCCTTTTAGTGTGTGCGGCATAGAATGGAATTTGGAGAACATAGATTTAGTGGGCAGCCTTGAGAACACTGGCTGTAGAGAGAACTTAGACGGTCTTGATTATGGCCTTTTAGGAGTAGGCATGGACTCTCTGGCCGATACTGGCGATTCAATAAGTATGCGGGGGGGGGGGGGGGGGGGGGGGGGGGGGGGGGGGGGGGGGGGGGGGGGGGGGGGGGGGGGGGGGTGGGGGGGGGGGGTGGTGGGGGGGGGATCTTCAACAATTGATGACAACCTTGGTGACTTCAGTTTTTCTGAGTCAGAAAGCGAACCGCCTCGCAGCGCTCCTGTTATTACCCTTTCCTCATATGGTTGAACGGGTCACACGAAAACGTTCAGAACACCCACTACATGGCCGGCTCTTCCTCCTTAACGGTGTCTGATGCGCTTCCAGTAGAGGATTTCTAGGTCATTGATGATACCACATATCGTGTGGGATTGAACGAAGATATGTGGGAAGGCGAGGAAGTGTCTGCCTCCGCCTATGAACAAGGGCAGCCTAACGAAGCTGTTTACAAGCCCTCTCAAGTTCTTTGTCAGTTAAAGAACCATTGTCTCCCATCTGATTGGGATTACTATTCATGTGGAACACATTCGGATGTGTTTAGAGTTCCCGCTTGATCCCATTTTGACTAAGACTCTTCTTTACCTCAACTTCACTCTAGGTCGCTTATCTCTGGGCATTATTTTTCATTCTATCACCTTCCAAGTTTCCTGTAAGAAGCTTGGCGAAACGCCCTCCTTTGATGTTTTCCGCCTATTGTACACCATGCGTAGTTTTGATAACTGTCGGTCGTGCTATAGGCGGTCAAACCGCATTGGCTTTGTGTATGGGGCTCCCAAGCTAGATTCTCCTTGGTTTAAGGAGTATTTATTTGACCACCCAAAAGGGAAATGGTATTCTGGAGAGGTAGAACCTCCCACGGGGTTTGCTATTGGCAACAGAAAAGACTGGAACGCCAATCTTGAATCTCTCGAGCCCTTCAAACCGCTCCTAAAGAAAATAGTGGAGTTTTGCCTTCCTCCCAAAGGGCATGATTATGCGTTGGAGATAGTTCGACACTTTCACGGTTAGTTAGTTCCTACGTTTCTTGTTGAGCGCGTTTCTTATGCCCTTTACTTATGGACTTATTTTGCATATGTCCGACGTTATGCATCCTCTGCTCGACCGCCGAAGCCTAGTAGTGGAGCATCTAACTCTGTGCCGCCATCTCCCATCCATCCCAATGCTCCAGCCTCTGTTCCTCCCTAGACGACCTTGACACAGTTGGTTGTTGGCCGCTCAAGAGTGCTCAAGCTGTCTGAACCTACTTCGAGCAAGGGCTCCTCTAAACGGCCGTTGGATATTCCCGCTCCAAAGGATAAGTGGTCAATCTCGGGACAGGCTAGGATGAAGGGAATCCTTGTTGAGACTCCTCCAGCTACACCCCTTGATTCCTATATCCCGTCCAAGACGCAGAAAAGGATGGAACTTACATCGACTGTGGCCTTCTCTTCTCAAGCGTCCTTGTATCTTATGGCGGTCAAACATGTGATGCATGTTATAATGGAGGAACTTGCGGTCCCAAGCAAGTATACCCAAGTTAATGGCACTCCGGTTCTTACCTTCGATACCAGGCATCTGGCGAGCGCGACCGCGCGGTGCTTTCTTCGCTGTAAGTTTGTATTGAGGTTTTATTTGCAAGTCCTCTTCAGTTTCCCTTTCTTCTAATCCTATGCTGCTTTGCAGACCCAATTCAGGTTGAACTAGATGATGCTGCACAAGGATCGTCTATAAAACAACTTGGACGACCGCGACACAAAGATTCTTCTGCTTGAAG